TTCCCAAAAATCTGATGTTTCCGAAAAGTTGGAAATGTTGCCGAAAAATCGTAAACGCTTCCTAAATGAAAGGAAATGTTTCCGAAAAAATGTAAATGTTGTGGAAAAATCGAAAATATTAAAAAAAATTAAAAATCTGAAATGTTTCCGCGAAATTTGAAATGTTTATGAAAATGTTTCCGAAAAACCTTGAATTTTCCCCCAAAATCGAAATGTTTCCGGAAAAGCTAAAATGTTTCCAAAAAATCGGAAATGTTTCAGAAAAATTTGAAATGTTGCGGCGAATCGAAAATGTTCCAAAAAATCTAATATATTCCGAAAAACCGAAAATGTTTCAAAAACTTGCAAATGTTTCCGAAAAATTTGATATATTACCCAAAATCTGAAATGTTTATGAAACACTTTAAACGTTTTCGAACAATTTGAACTGTTTCCCAAAAATCTGAAATGTTTTCGAAAAATCTGAAATTTTTCCTAAAAATCTAAAATATTTCCGGAAGATATGAAATGTTTGCGAAAAATTTGAAATGTTTCCTAAAAATGTCAGTTTCCTAAAAATCTGAAATATTACAAAAAATCTGAAATACATTATTCCGAAAAATATGGAATGTTGCCGAAAAATCTGAAGTTCTACCGAAAAAGCTGAAATCTTTCCGAAAAATTTGAAATGTTGCCGAAAAATCTGAAGTTCTACCGAAAAAGCTGAAATATTTCCGAAAAATTTGAAATGTTTCCGAAAACTGATGTGTTCCTAAAAAATCTGAAATGTTCCCGAAGGTCGAAAATGCTTCCAAAAAATCTAAAATTTTCCCAAAAATATTAAATGTTTCCGAAAAATGTAAAATGTTTTCGAAAAATCTAAAATGTTTTCGAAAAATCGAAAATGTTTCCGAAAAATCTAAAATGTTTCCGAAAAATCTAAAATGTTTCCGAAAAATCTCAAATGTTTCCGAAAAATTTAAAATGTTTCCGGAAAATCTAAAATGTTTAAATAGAAACGAAATTTTTTCCGAAAAATCTCCGTAAAATCGAAAATGTTTCCGAAAAGTCGAAAATGTTGCGGAAAATCGAAAATGTTTCCGATAAATCGAAAATGTTTCCGATAAATCGTAAATGTTAACGACAAATCTAAAATGTTCCCGAAAAATCGAAAATATTTCGGGACTGTTTATAAACTAGAAAATCTGTCCGAAAATCTAAAATGATTTCGAAAATCGGAAATGTTCCTGAGAAATCGGAAATGTTCCTGAGAAATCGGATTTGATCTCGAAAAATCCAATGCCAATTGCAATTGATTTCGACGAATTGAAAATTTCTCCGAAAAATCGGAGTTGAAATGTGCGCTTGAATAAATAGCAGCCAATTCTTGTGTTATTTTCTCAACTTAGCTAAAATTTGTTTCTAGCACCCCTATTCTTGCGAAATATTTAAAGTTTTTTGTTTAATAAATTTTATACCATTAAACTTTATCAAAATTTAATAATATCATTTAAGATCCACCCTTTTATGAGTGCAAGTACAATAGAATGTACCTACATACATATGTATGTATTAGGTATGTATGTAGTATGAATGTGTGTATAGTTATCTGGTCAAACTCCAACTTTACCAACTCAGCCCGCATTCGAACTGGTTGTTTGTTACCACAAACTTGGAAATATTGACTTACCCAGTGTTGCCACAATACAGCAACAACTTCATCAGCACGCCGCACAGAATGCAGTCAAGCATATAAAAAAATAATAAAAATTGCAAATAATGCGAAGAAGCCCACGTACCAGCGTGCCAACATGCCAGCGACAATCATGGAAAGACAGATCAACGAGGCATCGGCCATGTGGACGGCCGGTAACATTTAAACGCATAGACTGCAAGTGATGGTGATGTTGATAGATTATGCCAATGAACTTGACATTAATAAGGCTTCCAAAAACTCCATCCACTCCCGCCCACCACTTGAGCCCATCATGGATGGCACATTTATCTGCGGGTATCTTCTTCTCATACATACATTCTGCCACTGCTTTCCCACCATCACCACCTTCAATATCTATCTGTTGGTTCTGCTATGCACTTACTTTGCCGCCAATGTGCGACTTATCCATTGACACTTTGTCAGTCGGTTGCAGTAGTTTTTCTGCATTTTTTTTTTCTCTGCTTCTTCTTCGACGCTGTAGCTCAAGTTCCAACGCTGATTCAAGATTTTTTGTTCTATGATTTTATAAGAAAGATATGCAGGCATGCAATATTTTATTGGCTTGGCTTATGAATGACAGTCACGGCTGTTGGCAGTAATATGTAGCATTGCATGCAATTGTTTATGATTGCACATAACGGCATAATAATAGTATTTAGAATCAAATCAAAGTGGCATTTGCATTTAAATCCATGCATGCCAAGATATGAAGACAGAAAACTAGTGTGTATCTATGGAAGTTCTAACGAGTCGAAAGTGGTCTTAGTTACGGGTTTTACTAATTTAAAGCGGACTGGTTATAAGTCAAATAAAATAAATTAAAACAAATATATTAAAGTTGAAATTACGGTGT